TTGAGTGACAGGCTCCGGCGTTCGGCTTACGCGATTAATTCACAACATCCAGAGTCCATGCACCTTACGCGATTAATTCCCAATTGTTATTCAAACTACGTAAAGAGAACCTTCCCGACACTTGGTCTTCGCTTTCGCTCACCGATCTCGCGACGTAGGAGTCGACTCATTACACTCGACTCGAAGGCGCAAAGCGTTCGAGATACGTAGTCTCTCGAGTCTGGACTAAATAATACTTTTACACTTTAATGTCGCCGGTCCCCGGTTAGAACACACGGCTTTACTGCAGTAGGACACCCTCGTTAGGACGGATTCGCGTAACACTAATTTCGCCTTAACACGAACAAAACTTGTGTCCCTTAAAGGGATTACAATACGAATACGATCATTTATATCAATCGGATCACACGAATTTTTATAACACGAACTCCGATTACTTTGGTCTCTGGAAATTCGCGTTAAAGAAAGTTTACTGTAGTTGCAAGGGCTACTTTATTCTCAGATTCAATTACAGTGACTTCTGAGATTGCTCAGATGCAATCGCGAACTTCATTACGGCTTAATGTTTGGTACTGAAGCTTCCGATTCGTGAACCACGTACCAGCTGGTCAAAGTTCAGAAGTCACTATAATTATATCGGAGAATTCCTCCTGTCCCTCCAGGCACTCACCTCCTTAAAAATATACCGAATTAAAATAATAGTTTAAAACAATTTTAGATTTACCTTTCTAAAGTTATATTAAACTTAATTATTCCAAAAAATATATTTACATTTTTAACAACACTGAAGACAGTAAATGAGAAAAGGTGAAAAATGTCATACTATTTTGATATTTTTCATGGAATTTGCAGAATGTATCAAAGCAAAAAACGTAAAGGAAAGGTTGGTAGTATCAGAAATATTTCGTTATCGTTCAAAATGATGTATAAACGTATAAGTTCCTTCGGTAATAAATCGAATAGAGGAAAGAGAAGTACTACGAGAAAGATTTGATAAGCAACCAATCACAACATATTCATCCAAACACATACATATTTTTACTACAGAGTTTCGACGTGATCTTGAAACACGATATAAAGTTTTCTGATGTGATCATTAAAGAAGAAACCCAGCAGTGGATTTCTGAAAAGCGGAAAATTCTCTGCCTTGCAATGTGACCTGTGAAAGAACCTTGACTACTTAAATGCTAGGAATGGGGTATTATTACAGAAATAATAAAATAATATATAATTCAATTTCTGATTAAAGTTTGATTAGTATTAATTTAATAGTTCGATTAATATGCATCGATTTGTGGTTTTGAATTCATGATTAATGTATTATCGATTCATTTTCATCGTTTATAAAAATAATGCTTGAAACGTTAAAATCAATAATTTATTCCAATGTTAGAAGAGAGTACTTTATTTGTTGAAGTGTGCCTGCTACTTTTTGGAAAACCACTTTAGGTGTTTTAGTTCAGAGTTTTCGCTGTTGAAGGCCACTAGTATCAACTAAACTCACATTTCTGCCGAAGCCAATACAGCCCCTCCCTCTGCGCGCAACGAAGTAGTGGTTCGCACCCAAGGTCGCGGATTCCATCGAGTTTCAACTTGGGCCGGTGTATTTGCGACTCGCGTCAATACGGTACAGCCAGACTCTGGAAGACACAATTCTCGTACAACAAACGGAAAAAGTTTAATTCTGTTCTCCTGAATTTCAAAGCTAAATTCAGAAATGTTTTTAGGATGTGCGTGTACCACTTCACGATACATTGTTCATTCGGGAGAAGAAATAAAACCAACTATTGTGTTTAGCAGAAACTGACTCTTAAAACTGTTCTGATACGAATCAACTGTCGTATGTTTAATTAGCCGCTCAATTGTTTCGTTGTTTTAATGATTTTGAGATACGTTAGTGCATCGTAACTTAATTGTAATAATCTCTCTCGCAAGTTTGCAAATCGTTAAAGACATCCGTGTTTCATAAGCTGAGAATTCACACTCCATTGCACCACAATAACCTTGTAATTGTCATGCTGTAAGCTTACCGGAAATGCGGATTTCACTCTGCATTACGGTTTACAACCGTTCAAGAACGAACTTCACAAATGCATACAAATATATACATATTACATTATGCATCAAAATACTGAGATAATTCCAAATAACAAGATTTAAAGAATAAAATATCCAAAGACCGCATCATTTTCAAGTGGCAATCACAGAATTCTTAACAGAAAGAGGAGCAGTTTCTTTGGCAAAGGCAAATCCGTCTTAGTCTACATCTCGGCTGTCATGTGAACTATCTTTATCAATGTTTTCACTAAATTACCCTATTTACTATATATATTTCTTTACTTAACTCAAAACCTACAATTATATCACTCATCATGTGCAATTTTTCTTGTGTAACAAAGATTTGAGGATATTCTTAGAATGTTAAAAAATTGAAATTTACTACTGGAATTTTGAAAGAAAATGTTAGTTTTTCTGCCTTCAGAAATAATTCGATTATTTTTCTTTTAAAAAATGTCCGGTTGTCTTGTCAGTCGAGGACTAAATTTAAAATTACGTTTCTATTTAGTGCTGGTAGTTTCAAGTGTACATTTAATTACATATTTCACATTACTCTCGAAAATGCAAAATTTGTATTTCAAGTTGTGCACGCATAGCGCAAATACCCACAACCAGTTAATAGTCCCAATTTACTACATCTTTCAACTTACAGAAAGTACAAATGTTTATTAAGTTTAGTTCTTTACGCATTATGAGAGAAGTTTCTTGATTTTAACATGAAAATGAAAGAAATTAAACAATACTTTAACAATTTTCAAGTAATGGTTCATCAATAGTATTGCATAAAAGTTGAATAACACACTCGCTCATCAAAATATATAATTCTTTTATTTAGTAAGACTTTGAGATAACAGTTTTATTCTATTTGGGAACTCGTATATTCATTTGGGTTTCCTAAAATTGATATTCAAGAACTAAAATAGCTCAACATTTCATTATCAATATAAAATGAATGAACGAAAGTGAATTTGAAGTATTACATTAATTAAAGAGCAACACTATATTGCGTTTGTAATTAATGCTTCTGATATTTGATAAAAATCACAAATGATACTGATGAGACAGAAATTAACAATAAGGTCTCTCACGAGTAGGCTCTATCATGGACAGTAAAATGCCAAATGTTTGAATCACACTAATCAGTCAATACACTACTATGAATACGACATTACCTCATGCTATAAGAAAACTCTCTGATTCTGGAATTCAGCTAGTTCCCAATTATTTTACGTCTTAACTCAAACTGCTATAACAACTGTCCATTCTCTTACTAATATATCTAGTTCATGACAATAAAAGCTATCAATACCTCAGTTTTACTTCGTCGAACTCTTGTGTGAAAAGCCGCTGCCAAAATTTAATCCGGAAAACTAATTACTTAAATTACGGGGGGGGGGCAATTAACATGAACATTTGTTGAACTTATAGGCGAACCAGGAGGCTTATTTTGACAAGAGAAAGAGACTTTGTTCCTGTCAGTTTGAAACAAGTTTTGAAAGTATGCGGAAAAAATTCAGGAAAATCACACCGCGTACATCATAATATCGATTAAGCTACGATTTGTTCTTCTGAGTAAATATCAGTCCCAAATTCATTGCAATAGTAGAAGAATAAGGCGAATCTAATCTAAAGGAATGCAAACATCGTAAAAGTAGTGTGCAAGAAAACTACAATTCGTTTCATCTACCTTCATTGAATGACAGTAAGTAAATTCCATCAAATCATTGCAAATCATAGAAACCATACATATCACTTACTATAAGCCTTACATATCACAATTCAGAAAATAAAGATGTCTTCATTCGTTTCAAGCAAGCAATTTGAAGACGTAGAAAATATGATATAAAGCAAGAGATAAATAAATGTCAATGCAGCTATTTAGAATATTTTTGGATATGAGCTTTACATCTATTTATTACTCTTTCTTAGAGCAGACACTTCAAAGAAACCATTAAAGCAAAAAGTGAGAATGGTCCATTCACACCATTCAAACTCTACTTTCCAATTCAGAAAGTGAGTGGAGTCATGCATAGCCTGTCATTATTGTGGAACGCGCTAAATAGTTTATAAACAGTTCCTCTTCAATTCTTTTCGAGATCAGCAAAACAGAAGGTTTAAATATAAGAAGGGAGGCGATTTAAGCCCAGTTTCAGGAACGTGTCAGCTTGAGAAGAACCCGTACATCCTTACAAAACAGCGTAATAGTAGCAATAATTCCGGCTAAAGTGCAGATCATTAATCGAATTAATGGGATAAAACGCGAGGTAATGTGGCAGTGCCATAGATTTTCGATTCCCGCCTCCAACAGTTGTAGGCCCTTTAACTCTCTTGTTGTAAACGAGAACGACGTGATGTATGGCGATGACGGCAATAATCGCTGTCTGAAATGCATATCCTCCACTGGGCGGAAAAATCTAGTACGTAGTTTTATGTGCTCAGTCGACAGCTGAAAGTGTCTAACTGTTGCCGTGAAAAATTAAAATAAATGTGACGACCGCTCGTTTCTACTATATCTGGGCTTTAGTAAACGACCACGTTAATGGTAGTTCTAAATTCTATCGCCCGTTTATAGCTTCTCGTTCGGTTAATGGAATTGCAGGGATTAAAAGAACATGAATACGTTAAACGTCAGCGTAATATTTACATAAAAAAATACCAGTCATCAGAAACAAAATAAATCAACATTCCGCAGCTATTTTGACACAAAATATAGGAAAAAAAGCAGATTACTAGGTAAAATAAGTCGATCGTAATTCAAAGGTGAGTGAATGACACCGCGGATAGCCACGACAACTGCATGAAACCTGTCATGTGGACAGTCCAATGCGGAGGCGTCAACATGACAACTATCGCGCAACACCTCGACAGCTGCCCAGAAGCATTAACCACCACCCACATGGCACCGGAACGCGCCCACAAGGCAAAAAAAAAAACAAGCTCACCTTTCATTCACCGAAACCTGCTCGTTGAAGTGGCCTCACCATGTACACTGAAAGAACGGTCCACGCACGGGCACACGATTCCACAAAACACACGCGACACGCGAATTATATATATAAAAAAAAAAAGAACGAAAGTGAACGAACGAAAACGCACGCTAAACACAGCACCGGGCTAGTCTTCACATATCACACGACACAGCTTCGCGCGGAGCCCACAGGTTTTTCAGTCCTTCCCACGTAAACAAACGCAAGGCGACAACATCTGTCAACGGCGCGGGCGTGTGGCGCAGCCTGGCTTGCGGCGGCCGCCGGAGTCGCTCGCGGAGCACTGACGCTTGCGCCGCCCGCCCGCAGCGCCGCTCGCAGAAGACTGCCGCACTAAGCCAAGCACGCAGGCGCGCCGCCTGCTCGACGTCCCGCTCGCCGCGCTGCCTGCTCGCCGAGTGGCGGCGCACCGCCTTCTAAGTGGCGCCACGTTTGAATACGCCGCTGACGCAGTACAGTTGCAGGGGTCATTCATAAATTACGTAAAGGTAAAGAGGGGGAAGGGGGTTTGAAACTGCGTAATGTAGGGGGCAAGAATGTTAATTTAATGTTAAGTAACACTGATTTTTTTAATGTTTCAGCATTTTCTGAAATTGTTCATTTTATTTAATTGCACTTAAAACTTTAAAGTATTTAAAAAATAAATCTAAATTATGTAAATAATAAAGTTGTGATTTATAACTTGCTACAGGAAATATAAATATTTATTCATTACCGGTATACTCAATGAATCTGAGGGATTAAAATAAAATTTTGAAAACTGATCTGCAGTCTAGAATGCAAATTAAACTCACAACCAGGAACCAGTACACTCAGGACCGATGCGTCATCCCTGTCGACATCTGCACGGTTTGTCGTCTCATTAATTTTCTCGCCTTTGCGTCGTCCACTCACAAATTTTTTCCAGCCATATTGTTAGGTGCAGTCAGCATCACCAACTAACTCTGACTTATTGTCATACATTTTAACATATAATACAATTAAAAGTAACACAAAATGTTTTAATGTTTTGTAGATGGGGTAATTGTCGCAAACGTTACTTAATTATTTAGGGGGGTTAAGCGCGCGTTACAGTGGGGAGGGGGAACTCAAAATACTCCAAATTGGCGTTACGGGCGGCCGCTGCAGGTAATGCACTATGGTTCAAACATTACCCTTTTGGTCTGTTTTATTTTCTTCACAGCACTACAACAAATATATTTGAGATGGAAAAAATGAAAGTTTGTGTATTATATCGAATAGTGAATCACGCATTACAATCTTACGTAACTTGGAAACTACAGTATGTATTCTGGGCTCTTAAGTGAGTTTTGTGGGGACATGTGTCATATTTTTGCAGATTTAGCTCGTCAGCAATCCCTACTCCGCAACGTGGGTGATCAGATAGGAATAGTGACTGGAAATATATGTAAAATTAAAATGGAGGAAGAGAGACAGAAATGAGATTCGACGATAAACTAAATTTACTTCTGTGAAAGGCATGCAATACATTTACGGGACTAATGCCCTTAGCAGTTAGCCCGCCCGGAATCACTAACAATAGTTCACTGTCTTGGGGTACCAGACACAACAATTTGTGGTAGATGTTGCGGTTACTTGACACGCTATCAGCGGAGGATTAAAATACGTCAGCATTCATCATTGGCTGACTGTGTCCCCTAGCCACAAAAGCCCCTCTCCCCCATGAGCCTTTGTGCATTATTAGAATATTTTAGGACCTTTCGTAGTTCTTACTTTCATTCATTCATTCATCCATTTCCTTCTTTCCTTGTCTTTCTTCATTTTAATATGAATTTCAAGTAATAGAAAAGCAAAATGGTTTTAAAATTTTGCATAGAAAAATAGGTATTTCAAAAACCCTAATGGGCACTTTTCAAGATTGCTATATTCCATTAGGTTTGTTTCTAGCTACACCAACCACCTGATCACGAGCCGTACGAAAAACAGACATGATTTCTGACGTAATACGATGATTGAAGAATTTTTCCGGAAATTGAAAAATCCTTCTGACATTAAGGATTATGAAAACACCACATGATTCCCGAATACTTTATGGCGGGAAGCTTGAATAAAGTTATAGCAAAGAATTCGAACTTGTAAACAAAAAAAAAATTCCTTGCTTATTACGAAGACAAATAAAGTGTTGACTTTATATTTTGTTTATTTCGTAATTTCTAATCAATGAACCAAACCAATGTTATTTCTACGTGCATTAACTTTTTTTACATCATTTATAACATAATCGTGCGTACAGATAACCAGGGGACCGTGGCCCATATTGAAAATTTGAAAGTGGCCCAATAGCCTTACTTAACAATAGTTTAATTTTAATAAATACGCTCAATCCTTGATTTTATCATTTACCCCAAGATATTTATTATTGCATTAATTATATAAATCACTTTTGTTTATGGAGAATTTTAATTGCTTTTGTTAACTAGCATTATGTTAATAATATCAATCAACTGAAAATAGGGTACTTTTGGACTTCGTTTTCTTATTTCGTACTTCTCTTTCTGCTTTCTTCAAAATTTACTTGAGTTGTGACTGCAATTTGGTGAAGTGTACAACTCAAAAGAAGATAGCTTGTTGAACCATTTAGCTACTTAAATTCCATCGTTCAGGTAAGGATCATAATTGTCAAATAACTACGAATCAGCAACGACCAAATTACTTTGTGCGTCACGAGATAAGTTCGTGCAAACAGGGTGACCCTTTGTCGAGTTGTCTGGTCTGGACGTTAACATAACGACACTATAAATCATCATAATACCTCATTCTGTCGAGGTCATTCACAACCTAGTTGCGGCAATATCTAACATGCAATCTTTTCATGTCCTGTAATGTCTGCATCCTGTGATATGCAAAGGGGATAATCCATATGGACACTGGCAGAGGTTCTCTCAATGGCTAAAAACATAGAAAACATATTAGTAAGTTGTGTACAGAAAATTCCATAAAATGTCAGTACCCAGTATCACTAAACAATGTTTGCAATGCTTTTATATATTTGTGCAATGTCACTACCTATGCACTTGATATCGGACTTTGAGGCACGCGGGTCTCAATTAATAAATAAGAGCTACACAAAGTCATACAATGATCAATAAAATGGTAAAATAATCAACAACGTATATTTAAACCACGAAAAAAATGTTCATTCATTTTATAACTTATTGAATTCGCTTCTTATGAAAATTTGACGTGAATGTAATGTATTTACGAACCACATTGTGTTCACAAATGTAATCATTATTCACTATCGTGTTTATTGAAATGTCACCATCCCGGACACTTCTTTGAATCTTTCTCGCGTTGAATATATTTTCCGCTAATTATACCACCTATTATTATTATTATTATTATTATTATTATTATTATTATTATTATCATTATTATTATCATTATTATTATCATTATTATTATCATCATCGTCATCTTGTATAACAAATTTCTGTTCAAAATAAGACGCCCATAAAGTAAATATTAAGAATTTATACAAGTATTTCCTCTAAATTACTGAAAATCAGAAACACAATCTGCACAAATTGCAACGAATATATTTCTGGGAAATGTGTCCAACAAAACTATTTCTCTCAGACAAGTGTGCTTCGTTGGGTTCGGCCATTTCAAGCGGACGCCGCACGACCAGCGTTCGTCCGCCAGGCGATCGGGCGCGTTTCTCCCGGCACCGTTACATGGCAGCGCGCCGGAGACGCTCAGCAGTTACGGATCGGCAAGCACTTGTGGCGAGTTGGCGCCAGTCATTCAACCGTGCCACCCACCCCCGCCCCTCC